CAACTTGTTCATCTACAAAGAACCCCAATGTGAATGATGTGTCTGCAATCATATGTGAGCCACATTTAGGCTTGGGGCTCAGCCAGAATATTTAAGGAGGGGAGACAGGAAAGGAAATAGAGTTCGCAGGGAAAGAGGAAGGCTGGATGAAGTTTTTCGTACTTTGTGGACCTGTGTGAACAGTTCCTTCTACTTACTGTTTAAGCCCTAGCAGGGAGATTTGTTATCTGCTGTTATTTCAAAAGCCATTAAATGGGGATGAGGGAGGGAAGAGGTGGGGGAGGGAGGGAGTTTTCATGTGTGTGTCTGTGAGTCAGCAGAAGCCGGAAGCCTAACAAAATGACTTCAAACAACAAGCTGGAAAGGAGGACAATAGCTTCCACCCCCAGACAGTGAGAAATTGCTTTATCCTAAGGGATCGTGACCACCCGTGTTCAGTGGAGATAAGTGAGAGCCTTCTCTGCTCTGGCCAATAGGAGACCTGCAGCCACAGCTGCTCCCAGAAGCTCTGGGTGGCCTCCATTCCAGCCGCTCCAAATGGTTTCAAGGCAAAAACACTGCAGCTGGGTGGTTCTCAGAAGCACAGGGGGTGGGAGGAGAGGATGACAAAGCGGAGGGGTGGCGCCTTGCGTCCCCCCACCAGGTGCTCTAAATCCCCTCTCAGGGCTTAAGAAAATCGCAGTCTGGAGGCTGAGTCCTGAAGCAGCTGTGTAGGAGCCTGCATCACCGCCATGCCACAGCAACAAACCAACCCTGTGCCTCAGACTCCAGAAACTGGGAGGCTTCCCTGCCAGGCAGCCCAGTGCTCTAGAAGCAAAAGGATAATTAATGCCACTTGGCAAAAGAGTGGGGCATTCCCAAGTCAGTCTTGAAAAAGAAAAAGCCTTGCACACACCCTACAACACAGACACAAAACCCGTTGAGATGTCCCTTTGAAGACTGGCAAATCTGACCAAAAACTTACATTTGCAGTAAACTTTACAGTAAAAAAAAAATGTATTAACTGCCCTCTGAAAGAGAGGAAAAAAATCCTAATATTTGAGGAAAAGTATATGGAAGTTATAGCATAAGCTCACTTTGGGGTAAATGTCCTTTGCATAAAAGAATTAAATTTTAAAACTTATTTCACTTATTAATGAGTACCTGCTGTTCAATTTATTGTATTTGTTACTTTCTTTCATTTTCCACTGTCGGGGGTTGTATGTCTTTTTAAATATTTTGATATCTCTAGCTAATACCTATAGTGTATGTTCAACTGACAAAAATGTTAGTCAAAACGTAATATAAGCTGATAAAACTGAAATTTCATATATATGCATATAGTCCCCTGACCAAGTAACTTCAAATTTGTATATAAATTATTTTGAGAGAGAGAGAGAGAGAGAGAGAGAGAGAATTAATCCTCTCTCAAGGACATACTCATCATTAATTCTAGATAGAGAGAGGAAGAGAGAAACATTGATATGAGAGAGAAACATTGATTAGTTCCCTTCTGAATGCACCTGACTGGGGATAGAACCCAAAACCTGGGTATGTGCCCTGACAGGAATCGAACCTGTAACCCTTCGAAGCTCAGGAGGACCCTCTAACCAACTGAGCAACACCAGCCAGGGCGAAAGTATATTTTTGTTATACACACAAAGTATATTTATACACTTATTGTAAAAACAAAGTATCATGTGTGTGTGTGTGTGTGTGTGTGTGTGTGTGTGTGTGTGCGTGTAACAAAAGAGAAGGGATTATAGGATGCAGAAGATGAAAAAATAATACTAAAATTGGACCACTGGCTACCATATAAGTGCTGACAATAATATTTCATGCAAAAACAAAATGGAATAGGTGTTAAAATTAAAATTAAGTTATTTGATATCTCGGTCCCTGAAACGGAGGTTGAAAAACTGAGGAGATGGTTTCCACTGGGCCCTGACCTGCTATGGGGCCTACATCAAGTTGTGTGATACCACTGTTATAGCACCTGCAAAATGGAGATAAAACTTCACGCTACCTACCTCAGAGAGCTGTTAGAAGATTAGATACCAAAAAAGAAAATCCGCAAAAGCCCTTTGAGTTTCCCATAAATATAAGACATGCAATGAAATAAAATACCGGCACTCTCTACAAAACTCCTAGAAATAGGAAACAGATGCCAGCAATGCAACAGGGCTAATAACTCACAGGGCAGTACTTTTCGGATCAGGGAGGTAGTGGGAAATTCTGCACACAGCTTCCAGTGAAAAGGTGCAAAAAAATGATGCTGAAATTCCAATCTACTCAAACCAAACAAAGCATCCAGGGAAAGGGGAGATTAAAAAAGCCCCAGTACTGTTTCAACACATAGCCAATGGCTCAAGAGAAGCAATCCTGACAAATAAAATTCCAGATTCCTGCTTAAATGTCTAAATCTACAAAAAGACAATAAAGTGTCAACATTATACTGGTAGTTTTTCACGTGTAGTAAAGTCTCATATTAAAGTAAACTGGTTTCCCCAGAGGATTAAGTGTAATGACCCCTTACAGTGAATAAAATTTAAGCACAGAATATATAAATTAGAATATTTTAAACCAATTTGTACTGGGAACAAGAGCCAAAATGAACTGTACAAAGCCACCTAAAATAACAATTATTTGGAGGTTCATAGGAAATTGATAGATATCCATATATCCTAAGATAGTCTAAATTATGGAAAATTTGAAACTGATCAAATACACACATTTATTATATTATATATTATATCAAGCATTTATTGTGGGTCATGTGTCAGGTTTAAATAAAAAAGATGAGAAATATCCTATTCCTGGTTCTCATGAAACTCAGTATAAGAAGAAGGAGACGTAGACACAATAAAGTAGAATACAATCGGTTAAGAATTAAGCACAAACAGAGTGCTGAAGAAGAAGTGATGGAGTAATTGATTCTGCATGGAAAAGGAGAGAGGGGTGCAGTTCAAGAAATTTTCAGAAAATCTGAACAAGAAAATCTTGGACAAGACCTTACACAATGAGCACTATTTCACCACACACGGAAGAAGGAAAGGGGCTTTCTAGATAAGGAGACAGCAGCCCATGTCTCAGGGCATGTCTCTGTATGTCCTAATCAGTATGTCCTACGTGAAGCACTATGGAGACAATCTTGGAGAGCCTGAATAGCAAGGTCTTTGTGGCAGAGAGAGGGAGCATCACAGGATGATATTTTGAAAAGAGACTTGATATTTCCTATAATTCAAGATATCAGACTGAGGCAAAATGAACAAAGCAGGGGAGGTAATACCTGCCCCAGGCATGAGACAGGCTCTGGGGAAATGGACAGCATTGCTGAGGCCAATTCTCTATGGGTCGGTGAGGTTGATAAAAAACAGTTCTGCTAAAGGGGGTGACAAGCTTAACCATGATTCAGGAATGGTCAGGACTTGGGATTCCAGGAGAAATAGCAAGCCCAAATTAGGTATGTAAAATACAGTGCAGCAGACTGAATAAGGGCCTCCAAAGATAACAGGTCCTAATCTCTGGAATCTGTAAATACTACCTTCAATGATCAAATTAAATTTTGAGATGGAGAGAGATTATTCTGGATTAGCCAGTTGGGCCCTACAAGCAGTAAAAAGTATGCTTGTTAGAGGAAAGCAGAAGGGGAGCTGACTACAGAGAGAAGAGGAAAAGGCAATGTGACCATGGAGGTAGATAGTGGAGTGATGTAGCCACAAGCCAAGGAATGTCAGCAGCAACCAGAAGGTGGGACAGACAAGGAACAGATTCTTCCCTAGGACTCTGGAGAGAGCTGATACCTAAATTTCTGTTGTTTTAAGCCCCCAAATTGGTGGTAATTTGTTACTGGAGTCATAAAAAACTAATACACACAGTGAGCAAACAATCATCTCAGGCGCTCTTGGGTGTCACAATCACCAGTCCTGATAAAAATAATTCAGGCACCTCAACCATCAAGAAGTTGACGTCCAAGTTGAAGCATTAAAGATATGCTAGACTACTAAACTGAGTAACTGGCCAAATTTTGGCAATAGGATCCCAATAAAAGCCCAGATTAGGTCAAGATAGATGGAAGAAATGCAAATCACAGCCACCAAATCACAGCACATGGGGAAAGGAAATTCACTCTGAATACTAGGGAGGAAATTAGTAGAGATTCAGCAAGTCAGAGGACATCACTGGGCCACTGAATTTCTGATCCAGGGTGGTGGCTTAACTTTAAGTGCCCATTGGACCTGGGAAGAGGGAAGAGGGGGATGGAAAACATTTACATGCATCCTGGCTCAATCAGGACTGACTCAGGAACTGGATCATGACTAGACCATGAAATCAAAGACATTAGTGGATCCAGGTGTGGAAAGATTATGGAAATGAGACAGCTGGGACATGGAATGCTAAAAAGCTTCAATTGTATTCATTAGCCCATAAGGGAAATAACTCAATGAGACCTTTTTTGAGAGAGTGGGAGTAGGGTAGGATTATCCACATCAGATTGTATTGCCCAGTAGGAAGGTAATTGAAAGAGCCAAAGCTGGAGCTATAAGAATAAGAAAATGGAGATGGATTAGAAAAATATTTAGAAGACATGGCAGGATACTTGAATACGGAATGAGTGGCTGGTAGGGCATGAGGGCAGCAGGTAAATGACAACACCAATCTTTGAAGTACACAAAATAAAAGGTTATGGTAGAACAGAAAGAATGAGTTCGTCTTTGGCTATGCTGAGTTTAAGGTATCGATGGGTTATGCAATGGGTGACACTAGAAGTCAATGGAACTCAGATCTAAAACTCAGAATCTCCAAAATGTGAGATATTTGAAAAAGTTATCTATAATGTGCTCTTGCATCTTCATCCTCCTGACCCACCACCATAAAAGGGATCCCCAAAAAGTTCCTAAACTTTTAATATCCTAAAAACAACATTTTGAAATACCATCTACTCATAAGAAAAACCTTGCATTGGCAGCACTTAAAAGTAAATGTATTAGACATTTTCTAAGAGGGAAAAAAATTCTTACCATTCGCTATTTTCTTTTTCTGTCTGTTAGCTTTGAGGCCATCTGGTGGAATGGACAGCAGAGAACAGCTATGCATGCATCAGGGGCAGTTGAGAAGGATGTTCGGGGAGGACACCGGGATGACCTGATGATGGAAAAGAGGGAATACTTCTGAGAGGACATCAAGTTAGACTTTTCCAGAGCAGTAACTACAGATTTACAAAGAGAGCAACAAGCCCAATATGTTCACAAACATAGACACCTGGAAAAAAGGATGAGAAAAAAATTAATAAGGACACAGATCTGTCTGGGAAGAAAATGTATGCTATATATCAGCTATAGATTCTGTATTCCTTTCTAACAAAATGCTTAGGTGTACAGTGCTCTATTACAGAATGCAAGCAGCTCCCCTTCTAGCCTGTAATTTGTCATGGCTCGTACTAGCTGAAATGTGGAAATGGCTTAGAGGGGGAGCATCTGAAATTCCAGATTAGACAGTCTGGGAAGGATGACGTGTGGGAAGGCAGTGAGGTTTACTGTGAAGATGCAAAAGAGTCTGATATAATCTCAGTCCTCAACCAATGAGTTTAGAGATAAATAAGGTTCTTTAGCCCCATAATGAAGACCCCACAGCAGGCAGAGGTGACAATAAAATAGCACGTCTCTCTTAAGAAGCTTTTCGACTCACAAATATCCAAATTGAATACATAAAAGACCTAGTAAAATATATGTAAATAAACAAACATGAACAAATTAGATCTTATGTGTAAGACCTATTATGAAAACATATCTATCACAGTGTCTCTGTCTAAACTTCAAAGTCATGAGAAGTTCAGGGAGTGTTGATATTCCAGAATGGAGGACATTATCAACAAAAGCCAAAAACATACCCAGAATTACTCACACCACCTTACATTTGCATAGTACTCATATAATGCTGCCTCATAACATCTCATCTGATCCCAAGCAAAGTCATGCATATGTTGACTCCCCCAAATATTAACCATGGATTCACTCCACATGTTTTTATATAGTACCTACTATATAAATCATTCTGAGAGAAAATATCCACATAAGCAATAATACCTGCCCTTGGGGAGTTAAGAACTGATTAAGTGAAAAACATAAAACATGGAAATATAAAAATGAAAACTATTAACTGGAAATTTTAAAAAATGGACAGTAACAGTTAGGTATTCTTACAAGGCAATAAATGAGAGATAGAGAAAAGAAGGGTTGCAGTGGTTCTCAACCTTCTGGCCCTTTAAATACAGTTCCTCATGTTGTGACCCCCAACCATAAAATTATTTTTGTTTCTACTTCATAACTGTAATTTTGCTACTGTTATGAATCGTAATGTAAATATCTGATATGTAGGATGGTCTTAGGCGACCCCTGTGAAAGGGTCGTGCGACCCACAGGATGAGAACCACTGGGTTATAGGCTTTTAAGTGCAGAAGTATATCTGACGGACAATGGGAAGACATGAACTGAAATGAAGTTCATGAGAAATGGATGAAAGATAGATGAGTGGAAATGTGGGAAGAGGAGATCCCAAATGATTAGAACAAAATAAGTTAAGAAAGAGGCCAGTGTGATAAAGTTATGACACTAAGCATAAAAAAAAGTTCCTGCTGCAAAACAGAAGATGTTAATGGCAAATGGTGGTAGGGCCAAATGTAGATGAGCTGATTGAAGAGTCTGGGCTTTACTTCGAACCACTCTCAGTGTTAATCAGGAGTAAAACATAAACTATGGGCTTTAATCTGAAAGCTACACAGGTAAGAGAGGACTGAATATCTTTGTCTCAGAGGCTAGTTAGAAGGCTGTTTTAATAATATAGGCATGAAGCCATGAGTTCCTGACCAAGTAAGAAGAAATAAGATGAAAGACGGATGGTTGGGAAAAAAGAGTACCAATGAAGAATGAAAGGATTTGAGGGACTGTGTGGCTAAAAAGGATAAAGGGATAAAGGCTAGGGAAAGTTCAAAATTGTTGTGATCAGTAACCAGGAGAATAAGGATGTCATTACTAAGGCGCTGATGGGCAAGAAAGAAGATGGACATAGTTTGAGAAATTATTCTGTTTTGAAGACACTGAATTTGAGGTGGGGATAGTATAACATGGATGAAATGCCTTCTGGAGAGGAGAAAACAAATGTGAGCTCTGTAGACTGAAGATACAGGGTTAGATGTCATCGCTTTGGGAAGAAACTGAAATAATAATACAGATGTAGAGAAACCATTTAGAGAAAGAATTTAGGCGCTATGGACTCAAAAGGTTTTGGAATGTCTCAAACACACATCACAGTTTCTGACTTAGTGGCAAACTATCAGGAAAAATTCTAAACCAAAAAACTTGGGAATACTTCAGAGATGAGATTGGACTTATATAGGGAACATATTTCTCAAACTATGTCAAAGACAAACATCTAACAAGCAAAAGTCATCCTAAAATATCAAACTATCAATTTTATGGTCAGTAATGGCATTAAATACAGTTCTGTGGAATTTAGCTATGTAACTATATTATGGTTAACTAATAACCTGATTTTTAATCACTTAACACCATAACCAAAAAAAAAAAAAAAAACACAAAAAAAACCCCAATCACTGTCACCAACAGGGTCTGGAATTTATAGGGCCCCTTCCCCCTAATCACTGACAACCACAATAACAGCCATTGGCACACATGTTTATGGTTTTGGGGGACCATAAACATTGTACACTTTAGTGTCAAAAAGCCACAGAAGGTTTCTCAAACTGGGAAGGTAAACTAAATGTTTTCTCAGGTTATTTTCAACCTTCTGAGGAAGGATAGTAACTAGTTGGGAAAATTCCTTAGCAAGTGGAATGGGGAAACTGAGACAGGTAGCTGAACAAACTGGCTGAGCAATTTACAGCCAGATACAGCAATTACCTCCCTAGAGATAACATCTAGGCCTCAGTTGTGTTTCAGCTCCAGGCCCAGAAAAGCAGCAAAACCAGGTGGGTGAAGCCAGGACTTACTGTAATGACTAATGACCCCCCTGCCCTGGCACTGACCAATTAGTGGAGACTAGGACCCTGAAAGAGCCCACCTGGAAAAGCTGATGACTATTCTATTGAGATCTCCCCTAAGATCTCCCCTAAACTCTCAGCCTTTAAAAACCCTCATAACAAAGAGCCCAGCCTGTGCTTTTTCCCTACGCCCCCCTCCTCTTCTCCCACAGGCATGAGTCTCCTAAACTCTAAGGGTCCCATGAGACCTGCAACCAGGGGGCAATGGGCAGTGGCAGCTCCTCCCGGGCTAACCCTCCAAACCACCTCCAAGGCCCCCTTTTCTCTGACTTTTTAGAGAACCAAAGCAGCCCCACCTAAGTTCTCCTGTTGCTTCTTCTATCCTAGGCCCTCCCTTGTTTCACTGTCCCCAGCTTTAATAAACATACTCTCAAAATCACCTGGACTCATGTTGTGAAATCTTTCCTGCACAAAGTCAAGACCCCACACACTACCAGCCGGCCCTAGGCAGACCCACTCAGAGCCAGGTCCCCTTTCTAATAACACTTCTGGTAGAGAACACAAAGCTAGAAGTCACGTCCACAGCTGCATAGAGTTCTGAAGCTTGCCATTATCCAGGGGAAAGTGATATGGCTTCTGTATACACATAAAAACATAACACTCAAGTCCTATCTTCCAGTTAAGGATGTCCCAGTGTATTAAAAAAATAATAATTATACTGCCCTCCTGCCTAATTTCTTCCCCCTCCTGCAGTAACCCACCAAAAATAAGAAGGAAACCACCTTTTCAAATAATAAAATCTAAAAGTAATGCCTAACATTTATTAGTAATTTATTTAGTAATAATGGCCAACATTTATTTAATACTTATGTATCTGATACTATTCTAAGCTCTTAAATATCTACAAAAAACATATGTGGTAAGTTCTATTATCACCAACCCCGTATTATAAAAGGAGAAACCAAGGTCCAGAGAGGCTGAGTGAGTTGCCCCAAATTACATCCTTAGTATGAAGTGGAGCCAGGCCTTGAATCTAAGCAGAAGGATTTCAGTGCCTCACCCTCGACCTCCATGCTGTCTGTCCTGTTTCTCAAATACATGCTCCAACACCACATGTCCCATTAACCAAAAAAAAAAAGTAAACTATTGTTGAAAGACAGTAAACAGTGTCTATGACATAAGTGTTTCTAGATTATTTCAAAAATCTCCAAGAGTACCAGATACAAACAAACCAAAGAAAATAGCAATACACCCTCAGACACACACTTTCTAAGGACAGTTTAATTAAAAAGGATTCCAGTTGGCTGTAGAAAAACTTTTGACCATTTAGGGTGACCAAAAAAATAGAGTAAGTGATACTAAAAAACAAGTTGGAAACACTCACTCCTGGACACCTTTTTTCTTTTCTCCTGACACACATTTATCCACTTTTCCAAGTTGAGTTTGGTATAAATGCAGTATTGCTTTTAAGAAAACTTCGGGATGTATTCTGCAATTCACCCTCCTGATTTTTCTCCCATTTTCCATGGCTGCAGTCTAAATATATGTTTAAAAGAATGATACAAATGTCTGGCTCGTGGTCCTTGGTAAGCATGACAATTTCTATCAGAAATTGATGTGTTAACCTGTATTTATAAAGAATACATTTTAATTGAAGGCCTTCCCGACGAACTGAGTTCATTGTAGTTTCAATTCTGCTAACATTTGTCTGGATCAAATGTTCTCACTTGGTTAATTCTACCTAAGACATTTACTTGCTACCTTATTTCAAAACATAGAGAACAAGATCCTAAAAACAGCTATTAAAGGCAGAGAAGAAAGCAATCAAGGGTATTGAAGAAATGCAATTGTCCATGTGAGTCTACTTCAAAAAAGGAGGGAACAGTTTTTGGATTCACTCTCCCATGATCCTGTGATCATCTGGAGTTGACAATGCAGAACACAAGTGCTAAGTGTGTCACATGGTTCAACTGGACCAAAGTGTCAGAGTGGAGTTTTAAGACCAGGGTGCCAGAAATGGCATTAAAAGCTTTATCAACAGCTGCCAGAGAGACTGGAAAGTGCCTCAGTCTCACCATGGCCTTATCTATCACATGAGGTCCTAGTAAATCCTTTCTTCATCACCAATGTGGTGTGAAGAATGCTA